GGTACAAAGAAAGGAAACCAAATAAAAGAAAAACAGGAAATATGCCAGAATCTACGTGATCCCATGATTATGGGGATCTTATCTACGTGATCCTATGGTTATGGGAATCTTATCTACGTGATCCCATAATAATAGGGATCTTACATAAAACACCTAATAAAAGGCTAAAAACAGCTAATAATAATAATAAAAATAATAATACAGATATTTCAACACTCCCCCTTAAGCTGGAGTGAAGATACCAATCAAACCTAGCTTGATAACCGAGGAATGAAGCAAAGATGGACCGACGGATTTGGTGAACACATCTGCCGACTGATTAGAGGACCGAACAAAGCACGGCTTGATAATCCCTGAACGAATCTTCTCTTTGATAAAATGAATGTCCACCTCTATATGTTTAGTCCTCTCATGAAGAACAGAATCTGAAGCAAGCATGATGGCTGACTTATTATCATAAAACAAGTCTAAGGACTGTTTTCACTTAGCCCTAGTTCCTCCAAGAAAGATTGAAGCCAGAGAATCTCATAAGTACCTTGGGCCATGGCACGGTACTCAGCCTCTGCTGAAGATCTCGAAACTACAGGTTGCTTCTTACTTTTCCAAGATATAAGATGATCTCCATAGAAAGTACAGAAGCCAGATGTGGAACATCTGTCAGTCTTGGACCCAACATAGTTTACATAACTGAAACAGGATAACCCAACTTGCCTGCTAGAAGAATAGAATAATCCAAGTCCAGGAAAGGACTTAAGATATTGAAGAATATGATATACCGCATCCGTATGAGCTGCATGAGGAGCATGCATAAACTGACTCACAACACTAATAGCAAAAGCCAAACTAGGGTGGGTGTGGTAAGATAAATCAATCTTCCTACTGAGCGCTGATATTGTTAGGGATCAGAAAGGAGATCTCTAGACTCAGTCGAGATCTTGATATTAGGATCCATAGGAGTGGAAGCAAGTTTACACCCAAGCATACCCGTGTCTCGAAGAAGATCCAAGACATACTTCCTTTGCGATAAAGAGATACCCTGCTTAGATCTAGCAATCTCAATTCCTAAGAAATATCTGAGCTGCCCAAGGTCTTTCACATCAAAAGCTTTAGCCAATTGAAGCTGTACTTGAGCAATCCCAGGGATGTCATTGCCAGTAATGATGATATCATCAACATAGACAAGAAGAATGATACATTGACAAGTTGAGGAACAGTGCATAAAATATGTATGGTCAGAATGACATCTAACAAACTCTATGCATAGAATTACATCACTGAAGCAGCTGAACCAAGCTCTGGGAGATTGTTTTAACCCATACAAAGACTTCCGCAATCGACAGACCTTTCCAGCATACTCCCCCTCAGCCCGAAAATCGGGTGGAGGATCCATTTAAATAGTCTCACGAAGATCACCGTTAAGGAAAACATTCTTCACATCAAAGGCTTGATAAGACCCTGAAAGACCATCATAAGTGATATACTGCGAAATAAGATGATTAGTACTACAAGCGAATTTGTATCGAGCAAGGGGTTTGCAGTCCTGAGTGGGATACCGAGACTCAGGAACAGGGTCAGGGAAATGTAAAGGGGAGAGAGGGGATGTACCTAAACCTATATCTGAGGAGGATGGAGGTAGTGGAGGCGGAGTACGAGGGCGGTGAGAATAGACCTGCAAAGGTGGTGAGGAAACCACAAGAGAAGACTCTTCTTGAAAAATAGGAAGAGACGAGCAAGAGGAGAAACCTCTTGATCGGGAGTAGAAGTTTCCTGCAAGATAGTGTCAGAACCATTAAAAGGGGTATGCTCATTAAAGGTGACATCAAGAGAGTGATACATGTGTTTGTGTACAGGATCATAACACCGGTAACCTTTTGACATTGAAGAGTATCCTAAAAAGATACATTTAATACCCTTGTCATCAAGTTTAGTACGAGAAGGGCTATGATTCTGATGTACATCCAAACACCTGAGGCATGATGGAAAAAAGAGTAATATTAGGCTGAAGCACTTGTAAGGGGGCCTTACCATTTAATACTCTACTAGGGGTACGATTAATGAGAAAAGTAGCTGTAAGAACCGCCATGTGCTAGCACATTCATACTACTTAAAAGACATCGAATTAACATTAGTTGGCGGTTTTTACGCTCTGCCACACCATTCTGTTCAGGGGTATATGGACAAGTAAGTTGATGAAGAATACCCTGTTGGTAAAGTTGAGACCTAATATTTCCTAACAATAGTTTTATATTGAGTTTTGATCATTTGGAGGAATTGAGTGAATAAGGGAAAAACTTCAAATTTCTTTTTAAGTAAAACATATACCAATGTGTAGCGTGAATAATCATCAATGAATGTGACATAATAACGATGCCCCGAAAAAGTAATAACAGGAGAAGGACCCCACGCATCAGAATGTATGTGATCAAACATACTAGGTGCACGATTCATATGAGAAATATAACTAGTTCTAGTTTGTTTAGAAATCTCACAAATCTCACATTGAAACTTATTATCCTTACCAGCCGTTATTTATGAAGGGAAAAGCAGACATAAATACTGAAAGTTTACAAACCCAAGGCGAGCATGCCATAAATTTAAAGTCTGAAAAGAAAAATCATAAGATTTAGAAACTGGAAGAATAGAGGCTTGAAGGCTTTAAGCAAGTGGAGGAGGTGTCGGTGGAGGATCCCTAAAGTAGTTGAGGCCATCACGCTCATATCCCCTGCCAAAAATCCTCTTCGAATACAGGTCCTGTAAAATACAGTAATGAGGAAAAAAAATCACTGCAATGTTTAGTGATTTGGCAAGTTTGCTAACATATAGAAGATTAAATGCAAAGTTTGAAACATGAAGAACAGATGGCAAAATAATATTAGGGGATAGATGAACATCTCCTTTGCTACAAATAATGGTGGTTGACCCATCAGTTAGATTAATAACCTGATTAACAGGGATAACGGGAGTTGAAAATAATGATAACTTACCAGTCATGTGATCATTGGCTCCGGAATCCAGAACCCAAGTAGGTTTTCCCGCTTTAACGTGAAAAGCAGAAGGAGTACCTGTAGTTATAGTAGCTGTGGGAATAAAAGAACCAGCCCTGGTAGATAAAGCTCCAAACTGCTCTTGAAGCTGACCAATCTGGGACTGTAATTGATTGAAGTCCTGGAAAGATGGTCTAGGAGGAGTTGAAGCAGGAGGGACAATAATCTGTGGAGTAGTATACCCACTAATAGTATCGGCTACTGCGGCAGTGTGGCCACGGCCAGAAGGACGATTGTGAGAAAATTTCTGCTTTAGCTCGGGATGAAGTTTAAAGCAACGTTCCTTTACATGACCTGTGGCTCCACAATGTTGACAAATAACCTTTCCCTCTAAAAGTCTAGAATTAGCAGCAAGAGCCATCTGATCAACTGGAGTTTGTGGAAAAGCTACTGGCTGGGAGATTTGATGTTTATGCTCCTCATGGTCAACAATGGCAAAGACATCATATAAATCAGGCATAGAAGAGGTGTTTATGATCTGAGTTGTAAGAGCATCATACTCATATCATAAACCCATCAAAAATTGGTAGGTTTGCTGGCGGTCCAGTCTCTTGACCAAAAGAGTTGCACCTTCTTCAGAGAAATCGGAGAGAGGTTCATACTGTGCTAATTCTTCCCACTTAGATTGTAGGTACCCAAATACTCTGATACTGACAGCTTGAGTGTCTCTTGAGATGCATGAGCAATCTCCTGATAGAGTTCAAAGATACGAGCGTCATTGCGAGAATGGGCATACATCATTTTAAGGGCTTGCCATAGACCAAAAACGGAAGTGTGGAACATGAACATATTATAGATACGCTCCTCCATTGAGTTGAAGATCCAACCTAGAATGGTGCACCTGTCCATGTCCCATGCAATATATTTAGTGTCCGTCTTTTCCGGTTCCTTGACTATACCTAAAAGCCAACCAGTTTCCCCTTTCCTTCCAATATAGAGTTGAAGAGAACGGGACCAAGATACGAAGTTGAGCCCATTCAAGAGCACACTAGTAACCTGCTGTGCCAGAGTATGATGTGCCGAAGATAAAGTGTGCCGAAGATAAAGTATGCTGGACCGAGGATAAAGTGTCCTTTTGGCTACTAGAATCAGTCATAGTACCAAAATAAGGCTGGTCCACACGTCAAAGCAGGAGGAAAGAGGAAAGAAGGCCGGAAATATCGGCGCTTTCCTCCAAATATGCTGCTGAACAAATACCGGCAGCCCACAAAGAAAAAAAAAATACCAGAAGGACCCTTAGGTCATAAAAAACCTAAGGGAATTCTCCTAAAAAAGGAGTAAAAAACAGAGGGTCACCCGAGGGGTCCAGCGCAAGGGCTGGGAGGAGGTGGAGGTGCGCCGGACGTGAGGAGAGAGGGAGAGAGAAGGTGACAGCGTTGGGGAGGAAATGGGGAGGCGAAGGTTTTTGTTTTGCTCTGATACCAAAAAGAAGAAGTTTTGGGTTTTGGCGTACTCAAACTGAGAGCCAATAGCTATATTTATATACTAGAATAGGGTACAAAGAAAGGAAACCAAATCAAAGAAGAACAGGAAATATGCGAAAATCTACGTGATCCCATGATTATGGGGATCTTATCTACGTGATCCCATGATTACGGGAATCTTATTTACGTGATCCCATGATAATAGGGATCTTACGTAAAACACTTAATAAAAGGTTAAAAACAGCTAATAAAAATAAAAATAATAATAATACAGACAATTCAACACCTTTTAATTGTCTACTTTTAAATTTTCTATTTTAGTTTTGAATTCAGTATACTGGTGCGGTTTACATGATTTTCTTGTTTTGCCTGACTAGTCTAACATGACAATGTTGTGTACTTGGTCACTTTTGTTGGTGTTCTGTCTGTTTCTTGATTTGGTCTAATTTGAAGAAATTTGAACACATTTTAATTATGACGAGTGTGAAATAGGCATCTGCATTCATTGTTCTTTTAACTATTTTCTTTGTAGAGGGTAAATCAATGTCTTCGAGATGCCTGCCATACCTCTGGAATTCCTATGTGCAAGAAATTCATAGATTGTGGGCATGGGGACGATAATAGTGAATTTGAACGCAATGCTGAAAACTGGAATGATTGGAAGAATAATGCAAATGCGAGTGCTTGTTTACTTCCAGATGATTTTGCTTATGGAATCTATGCACAAGTTGTCAATCTCACAACAAAACATAATGTAATCACGAGATATACATATTCATTGTTTTGGGGATTCCAGGTATTCTTAAAATATATATTGTTTGATTTTCACTTTCTTTTATTTTTTACATTGGCTAATCATTTCTTGCTAATATACATAGGATACATGCTTGAGAAAATTCAACTCTTTATGGTGTTTAAAACACTTGCTGCAAAAGGCATGGATCACAGAAACACATTAAACTATGACTTAAAGGCTTAAATCCACTAGTCTTATGCCTGAGTGGGAATTCTAACACCCTACATATAGTTATTCTTTTAGTGGTTAATGGTCGTAACATGTGGAGTGTCCTTGTATATTTATGTGGACACTGCTCCTCCTTCAATACAACCTACAATTGGAAGGATTTATCAAGAACCTTGTTCTTCCAAAGCTTGTGCATATATATCAATATTTGATGGCATGTTTGCACAGTATCCCACATGCCCTAGACGGCTTAGGTTGCCGCATTGAAAGATTCCCAGTGACGACATGCGGTGAGCACAGTAATCTCCTAAGTACTCTCCAAAGACTACTGGGATTAGCAATAATTCCTTACTTACTTTTAAGGCTGATTGAACATGCAAGAATTGGGTTACAAAATTGTACGATACTGAAGTTATATGACACTATTTCCTTTGGTGGTGATTTTATGAAGCAAATCAGTACACTGGCTGGAAATCTAGTTCCAAGTTATTTTGTCTGGGAAGTCCTTTTCACCATGGGCATCATTGGACTGGGCCTCTTGCTTTTTGCTCTTCTCATTGGAAATATTCAGAACTTTCTCCAGGCTCTTGGACGAAGGTACAACTTTGCAACATGACATTGTTTTATTTACTTAAGTATTCTACATGAAATGACTATTAATAGGGGCATTCTATACGTGAAGCATGTTTTTTTGGTTAAGTTATATGTGAGGAATGTTGAATTATTCTTGTTTATCTTTTTATTATTATCACTGTTTTCTTTTTTCAGAAAAGTATTTCTTCCAAGAAGCCATTGGTTACATTCTAACTAAGGGACACTGGAATGAATTTTACGAAATGTAAAACTTACTAAATTTTAGAATTCAATTTCAATGAGATTACAAAAAAATCATTAAAAAGTGCTCGAAGAGGAGCACACCCAAAGAACAAGTGCACGAAAGAAAACATCATGTAATGTTTAATTGGGGCTTCCACACCATCAAAGGACTTCATGTTTCTCAGACCACAAACCCCACCACATACAGAGGAGCTGCCATCCATGCATCTCAAACTTTTCTTCCCATCCAAGATTTGAGGATTATCGTTGTGAAACCAGCACACCCATTGCACACCAACAATAGAGAAAGCCCTATCCCAAACATCCCTAGCCACTGGGCAATGCAAAAGGAGATAACTCACTGAATCCTCATCCCTCTTGTGCTTGCGACACCAATTAATCACAATCTGGCGCCTCTTCCTTAAATTGTCAACTGCCAAGATCCTTATTAAAGCTGCTGTCCATCCATAGAAAGCCACCTTGAGAAGGGCTCTTGTTTTTCACATTGCTTTCCATGGAATGGTTGCCACCTAAGCACCTGTATCCACTGGTAAAAGGATTGCACCTCAAAACCCCCATACCATGATCCCACCAACTCCACTCATCAAGCCCCTCCTATCCATGTTCTGTTGGTAGTGTAAATAAATAAATAAAAAGCATATTCTCCATTTCCCAATCTTGATGATATCGTCCAAACTGCAATTCCCAACTCACCCTCCCATTATCAAGGCAATAGCAGTCAGCCACTATTATCTGCTCATCCACCGCAATCCTCAATAGCTTCAGAAAAGTGCATGCAAGTTATTTATTTGCTTCAATCTATATTGGGGACTAAAGTTGGATATGTTGTCTCAATGTATCAGTATCTGGAAATTTACGATGAATTCGAAATGTATTACTGAATCACTTGTTTCTGGAATTCTTTGAGGGACTAATTACACCCTAAGAGCATTTATTATTATCAGAAATTGATTGCATATGACAACGGAAATAAGTGAATTCCCAATTACTATAGGCTTACACCAAGGGTGAGGACTAAGTCCACACCCTTTTGCCTTGGTTATGGATGAGCTGACAAGACACATCCAAGATGAGATTCCATGGTGTATATTATTTGTCAATGATATTGTTTAAGTTGATGAGACTAGAGAAGGAGTTAATGCCAAATTGGAGGTTTGGAGAGAAGCTTTAGAACTAAAGGTTCTAAGATAAGTCGAAATAAAATTGAATATATTGAGTGTAACTTTAGTTAATCTAAGTAACACAAATGAAGATGTAGTGAGGATTTAGAATCAAGAGATACAAAAAAAGTGAACATATCCGTTATTTAGGCTCAATTATTCATAATGAGGGAGAAATTGGAGATGGCGTTAATCAAAGAATCAAGGCAGGATGGATTAAATGGAGGAGTGCATCTAGTATATTGTGTGATAGGCATATCCCTTTACGATTGAAAGGGGAGTTCTATTGAACAACTATTAAACCAGCTATACTTTATGGTACCTGTTGAAAGACAGAGGAGAGAGAGAGAATATATGAAAACGTATATATTATTGAGTAAGTAATACAATAATACAATGGTGTTTATATAGGAGAAGCTACGGGAGTAGGTGAGTGGAGAACATGTAAATCCTATACATGGTAATGCTATATATGGTAATGAGGGGTAGGTGAAGGCAGTTACAGAAAACATAAAATCCAAGTATACAATGTAATCTAATTGTACACATGTGACAACTCATACAATACTGTACAACACTCCCCCTCAAGCTGGAGATAAATGTCAATAACTCCCAACTTGCTACATATGGAATCAATAGAGTTCTTGGGAAGCGCTTTAGTGAAGATGTCTGCGGTGTAACAATCTCATTCGAGTCAACTTTAGATCAAAAGAAATGGCAATCTACTTCAATGTGATTTTTCCTCTCATGGTAGACTGGATTGCTAGCAATATGAATAGTTGCCTGATTGTCATAATGGAGAGGAATTGGGTACTGGACTGAAATCCCAAGTTCCTGTAATAGAGTCATCAACCAAGTAAGTTCACAGGTAGTGTACGCCATAGCACGATACTCTGCTTCAGCACTGGAACGAGCCATAACTGACTGTTTCTTACTCCTCCTAGTTACTAGATTTCCTCCTATGAAAGTGCAGTAACTCGTGGTGGACCGTTGATTAGAAGGAGAATCGGCCCAATCTGCATCTGTGTATCCCTCAATCTGAAGATGTCCAGAAGATCGATAAAGCATATAACGTCCTGGATATCCCTTGAGATACTTTAAGATGCGTACAATTGCTTCCATGTGAGGAACTCGAGGACTGGTCATGAACTGGCTCACAACACTGATTTCATAGGAGATGTCTAGACGAGTGATTGTGAGGTAAATAAGTTTACCTATAATTCTCCGATACATCTCTAGATCATCGAGTGGGTCACCACCATCCACCTTAAGTTTTACATTAGTCTCCATGGGTGTAGTTACAGGTGTCGCATCTAGTATCCTGTAAGAGATCAAGAGTAAATGTGATGTTGTGGCCCAAATTTGGTGTCGGGTCGCGTTGTGACCGACCGATGACCCGTCTCTACTCGTGGGTCGTGGACCCTAATTAGTATTCTCTTGGAGTGGGGGTGAGAGAGACGCTGAAATTCGTACAGAATTGAGAGTGAGGGGCTGAAACTTGTAATTTCCGATTTTGTACATAGTGAAGACTTTCTACTATGGACGTAGGCTTTGCCGAACCACGTATAAGTCTTTGTCGTAACAATATACTTCCGCTGAGAGATACTAATGCATTGCTTCGACCAAGCCACTTCAATTCCTAGAAAATACCGAAGTTTGCCCAAATCCTTAGTAAAGAAGCTACAACTCAAGTGATGGATTAAAACTTGTATCCCATCTTTGTCACTTCCGGTGGTAACAATATCATCTACATACACCACAAGAATCACAATACCACGTTTCGTTTTCTTAAAAAAGAGAGAGTGATCAGCCTGGCTTCTAGTCATATCATTAGTTACCACTGCTTTACTGAACTTATCAAACCATGCACGAGGGGATTGTTTGAGCCATAGAGAGACTTCTTGAGATGACACACACACTCCCCCTTAGACTCAAACCCAGGTGGTTGAGCCATATAGACTGTCTCTGCAGAAAGGCATTTTTAACATCCAGTTGACGAGGTGGCTAGTCTAGATTAGCTGCACGAGAGATTATGACATGAACACAATTTAGTTTGGCCACTGGAGAGAACGTCTCAGACTCTTAGTATAATTGAGGCCATAAGTTTGAGTGTAGCCTTTAGCAACAGGTCGAGCTTTGAGACGGTCAACAGTACCATTAGGCTTCTGTTTAATAGTGAAAATCCAACGACAGCCAACAATTGAGTATTAGCGGGCTTAGGAACATGGTCCCAAGTATGATTCAATTTTAAAGCATTTATTTCTTCTTCCATAGCTTTCCTCCACCCTGGATGAGAAAGTGCCTCCCTGTAGGACTTAGGAAGAGCAATAAAGGATAACAACAAAGAAAAAGATTGAAAGGAGGAGGACAATTTATTATATGATAGAAAATTGGAGATAGGGTGATTGGTACAAGACCTTTTACCTTTCAGAACAGCAATTTGTTGATCAAGATCAAAGTTTGGAGAGATGAAAGAATCTCCAGGCATTGAAGCGACTGGTGGAAGTGGCAAGGATGGGTTTACTACTTCAGTCGTTGGAACATGATTAACTACTCTTTTTCGGCAATGAGCATAGACACGAAGAGTTGGCGAGATGTTAGAATCAAAAATTGGAGTTGGAAGAAAAAATTCTTGAAGAACAGAGTCCTCCAAACGACTGCCTTCCTGGGAATAATAAGGAACATCCTCAAAGAAAGTTACATCTGCACACACAAATTGTTTACGAAGAGTTGGACTGTAACATTTTATCACTTTTGAGTGCGAGAATAACCTATGTAAATACATTTGTGGGCACGAGGATCAAGTTTGTCTCTTCCCGGGCTTAGATTATGAACAAAACAGACACACCCAAACACCTTTGGAGGAATGGAAAAATTTTGTCAGAAAACATCATTTGGAAGGGTGATTTTCTTTGAAGGATCCTAGAAGGCATGCGGTTTAAAAGATAAGCAGCTACCAGAACTGCATCTGCCCAAAAATGTTTTGGAACATGCATTTGAATTATTAAGGCTCGAGCAATAGCTTGGTCTATTCTTCTGTTCAGCAATTCCATTTTGTTGAAGTGTATCAACATTACAAGTTTGATGGATAATGCCCCTCGACTCAAGAAAATTTTGAAAAATATTAACTTTATATTCAAGGGCATTGTTAGTTCTAAGAACAAGTAATTTTGCATCAAAATGATTTTGAATTTCAGCATAAAAGGATTGAAAAACAGAGAATACTTGAGATCTATCTTTAAGAATATAAACCCAAGTTAAACACGAATAATCATCAATAAATGACACAAAATAACGAGCACCAAATAAATCAGTAGTACGAGTTGGTCCCCAAACATCCGAATGTACTACTCAAAAGGTTTCAAACTCTTATTATCAAAACGAGACTTAAAAGTGGCCCAAAGATGTTTACTGAGTTTGCAAATAAAGAAGGGACCAAGGCTCTAAGACTATTTGAAGAGGGATGTCCATGGTGGCAATGCCACTGGTAAGCTGAAGAGGAGGTGGAATGTAGAGTTGTCGGAGCAGTAGTTGGTTGGAAGTAGTAAGGACCATCCTTCTCGAACCCCCCACCAATCGTCTTCTTCACCTTGAGATCTT